TACATAGAGACAGTTTTAGTGGCTTCCACTTGGCCTTTCCCCCATAATTGCCCTCATTCTACAGGTCAGGAAACCTGCGTGGGGATTCTGCTAGTTGCTGAGTATGGGGATTCCACTTATGAGTTCCAGCACTGGGGAAATACCCACATGATGCATTTGAGGACCCACTGGGCCCACGGTGAGACAGATCAGAGCTGAAACTCCATTGACCACCTCCTGACCTCCATAAGACCCTACTCTTGACTGGACCACAGCGATGTTTTGAGTGTCCTGGAATTAGTGTCAGTTCAGAGCCAGTGTCCAGTAATCCCCCCAAAGCCTGATCATTTCCTTTTCCCCAGTGCACAGTTATCCTGTTAAAAGGCCGTAGATCCCTTTGGGGAAGTCTGGGAGAAAAATTAACAGTATGCATTTTTGGCAGTGTCCTTCCTCAAGGGGAGCCAGATTTCCTTTCATACAAGGGGTCCTGGTTCTGTAAACTGGCTCGAGTCTGGGAACTGAGGGAAAGACTATGACTCCGTTTTTATCATTTTTGTTCACTTGAGCTACAACTGTTTTGCTTATACAGACCAAGTAAGAATTTAGTAAGCTTCCCGTACATTTCACTTCTAGGAACACCGTGATCAAATAGCCGGCACCATCGGTCTCCATGAGTCAGACTACTCTGATTGCTGCTTTGACTCTACTGTCCACTATGATAATCACACCCAGCTTGCCTCTGGACATGGGGTGCTGCCATTGGACTCTGCCACTCAGGCTCCAATTACTCTCCTTGCATTCAGGCTTCCCAATTCAGTGGCAGCAGTTCCCACTGTAAGTTCTGGCCTGCAGAGAAACGTGATCACAGAGCTCTTCAAGGGTGCTGAGGATCCCCTCACAAATTTATTTCTCACCGTTGTGGGGAAAGTCGTGTCCTCTGGGCCAGGGTAGCCCACCCCAAAATGTGCCCCAAAGGCATATTGATTATTTTGAATTACAGTTACTTAAGAAATGGCCAACACAAGAGAGATACTCTCACCCTTCTTTTCCCTGAAAGCAGGAAATAATCTCTCATGTGAAAGGTACGTTCCCTGCATCTGAAAGTAGAAGGATACCTTTATCACCAGAGATAGGTAATTCAGGCTGAGAAGTCTACATAAATGAACCTTGTTACTTCTTTAATTTACCACCCAAGCCCATATTTTCTTTAGATTCTTCACTAATTAGCACCCAAAACCAAAGTTTTCTTGTCCTGTCAATTCCTTACAAATTTATATATTTGTCTAAAAAGTATAAAAGCTGCCTGCTTTGGCCACTTCTTAGGTCCCATTTCTAAGAGACCTCCATGTGCATTAATTGAAATTTGGGGGTTTGTTTTCCCCTGTTAATTTGTCTAGCATCAATTTTATTATTAGTCCAGCCACAAGAACTCAAAATGGATAGAAGGGGAGATTTCCCCCCCGATGCTACGCATCGAATATTTCTACGAGTGGAAAGTAAAATTAATAAATTATATCTTATTCTGAATGAAACTATATTGGTTGCTAATGATTGACACTTCATCATTGACCACTTCATCTTCTAGAGATCAGTAAGCTTCCAGGTATGCGCTCCAGGTCCCTTTCATCTTGGCACTTACAAATGCAGATACCTTGAGCCAAAGTTAAGGAATGATTCAAAATCTCCTGGTGTGGTGTCCAGGAATTTGCTTTGATTATCTCCATAGCAATCAGTGAATCACACTAAGACTTGAGAATCACAGCCTTAGATGCCCATAAGGCATCCATTAATAATTACCTCTAACTTTTTGGTTGGGACAAATGCCAATGGCACCTGTTTGGATTTCAGATATTCACCTTCATCTTCTCTTTGAAAACTGGAAGATGATTTTCCCATTTCCTGTTGCCTCTTATTTTTCCCACAAGTCTTTAAGTATCCCTGGTTCAGAATTTTTTTCAAAGTAGAGAAATTATTCCAAAACCCAGAAATGATAGAATTCAATAGTAAATGATACAGTTTCTTTATCATTTTTACACTTATCTTCATCTCCTTCTCCCCCTTATGTATTTTCTTGCATTTTACTTCTGATGCTCATTTTCCTTGACAGACAGAGCAGAAGCAATGTATGGGTTAGTCAAGTGGCTGACTGTCTCAACTATAACTTAAATTAGTATCCTGCTCCTATCTCATGGGTTTAGGGCCCTAAAGTGGGAGTTTTGATATGAAGTATTTCAGTTTTTGTTTATAAAGAAGCATCTGAGTGTTGTCCCTTTCAATGTGGAGTTTATACATGGGTTGCTTTTATGCAAAATATTTAGGCATTATTTGGGTAATGCCTTCAGAGCCAACATAAGAACCTTAGCATTGTTTATGTACAGTTAAACCTCTCGCTTTTACTGTTTGCACTACAGTCGACTTGGTTCTCAGTCTTTCATAAACCCTCCAAATGGTTTATTCCATATTTTGAGCTATTCTGCATGATTTTCTGTGCCATATGTCGCATTAATTCTGCGCTGTACCTGCTACAGTAGTCCCCTTAGCGTCTACAATTCTGTTTCTTCTGAAATGTCAACCGAGACCTTTTTACTTAGAGTCGCCATCTGCTGGTGGGAATTCTGCTTGCCACTACTGGTAGCCCATAGGCTCTAGAATCCTCCTAGGTCTGGATTCCTTGCCGGGCGCGGTGGCGCGCGCCTGTAGTCCCAGCTACTCGGGAGGCTGAGGCAGGAGGATCGCTTGAGCCCAGGAGTTCTGGGCTGTAGTGCGCTATGCCGATCGGGTGTCCGCACTAAGTTCGGCATCAATATGGTGACCTCCCGGGAGTGGGGGACCACCAGGTTGCCTAAGGAGGGGTGAACCGGCCCAGGTCGGAAACGGAGCAGGTCAAAACTCCCGTGCTGATCAGTAGTGGGATCGCGCCTGTGAATAGCTACTGCACTCCAGCCTGGGCAACATAGCGAGACCCCGTCTCTTTTGAGTTCTTATCTTAAAATAAGCTTTCTTCCCACGTATATATCACAACAAAAAGTACCATGTTTACATTCTTGCACGACTGATTTCCCACTGCATCGTGAATTCCTTTGGCGGGGCAATATTGTCTTATTTTTATTTTTAATCTCACTTCACCATTACCTAGCGAAACAATTGAATATTCAGGTTGCCAAGCATTTATGGAGCCCCTATTGTATGCCAGGTACTATGCTGAGCCCAGGGGATCCCAGTACCTAGATTGGATGAGAATCCCACAATACACCATAAAATGCTCTTCGGAGAGCAAGATATCAGAATAGGAACTCCTTTTCGAGGGTTGATTTGCCTTGATCATTGAGGGTAACTGTAGGGTGTATGAAATAGTCCACTTCGTTAAATTTCAACACTGTGCACGTCAGGGAAAAGGGTCGTTGCTCCTGTACGCAGAGCCCCACCTGGGGAAATCCTCCCAGTGCGCTTCTTGTAAATTGTTTTGACCCGCAGGGGTCGCTGTGGAGGCTGGCTTGAGTACCGAAACGCAAGGGAGCAAAGTAACCGGCCTAGTCCATAAGCTTTCCAGGAAGGAATGAAGTTTCAAGAAAATAGTTTGGATCTATTTCGAATTGTTTTGGTACAACGAAAAGGGAGCTGACGACGGACTTGACAGCTGAACACTGCACAAAAGTGACGAAAAGCAGTTCGCTTCAAGGAATATTGGGTCTTCTGGGCGGCCGTAGATCCGCCAAGTGCGCCTGCGCATAAGAGTAGCGGCGTTGAGTCAGGCCGGCGGTGGAGGAAACTGCGGTAGAGACCCTCAAGTCTCGCCATGAAGACCCGCTTTAGCACCGTTGACCTCCGCGCGATACTCGCGGAGCTGAATGCCCGGTACTGTATGACGGGTGACCAGGCTCGTGCGGGTGGTGCAGGAGGCAGAGGCCATGGCCCCACCGTGGAAACAAGAACGGCCTTATGTTTTCCAGGGGTCCCCCCGGTCCTGTTCTTCTGTGGACCTGGCTAGGCCTGAGTGGGCGAGCGCGTGACATCTTTCCGTGGCCCTCAGGATACCGGGGGGACCCCGGCGGTCGCGTGCCCCACTCCCCGCTCTCGTGGGCTGCTAGTCTCGCCGGGTCTTGCGTCCGGCTTTGGCGGGGCTCTCGGCCTGTCGGCCTGAGTCGCCTGGGTCTGGCAGCAAACGTTTAGTAAAAGACGTCGAGACGCCAGGTGGAGGACGCCAGTGTAGTCATTTGCTTCAGAGGTTTCCAGACCAGAGGCTTGGTTTGTTAGACGCTCCTCCTCACCGCAAAGAAAGGCAGCAATCGCCTTTTTAGCCGGAGGTAACAGATTTGGCCTGAGGTCTCCATTCTAATCTATTATTTAGCTGTGTGAGCTTTGTCATATTTCTCAGGGCCTCGTTTACATATTTCCTTTTATAATTAAGTGGGTTAGATTTTACTGTATTTCCTAAAATATATATTGGATCACTTAAGAGACTCAAGGCATAGTATAGTGTTCCTAGAGCTGATAGACCACTTTTGTTCTTAAATAGTTACACTCAAGGTTTGGGCTCAATGTCTGATGGCCTTCAGACTGCACACTGGTTGACTCCGTATCTTTAGAGTCAAAGATCCCCCCTTTTGCCGTCTCTGCTTTCGCCTACAGCTTTAAATTGTATGAAGTTTTATGTTTCAGATGGTAGTATGATTTGTTACATGTTTCCTTTCTCTTTGCAGCTTGCTAGGAATGAGAGTAAACAATGTTTACGATGTGGATAATAAGACGTATCTTATTCGTCTTCAAAAGTAAGAGCACTTTATAGGCTTGTTTTATCTTTTGTAGAATTAAATATGAGCTTGTTTTTTTTTTTAACCTGAGTTAATGCTGCCCTAAAAAATTTTTGACTTTTTTCTTTTACAGACCAGACTTTAAAGCTACACTTTTACTTGAATCTGGCATACGAATTCACACGACAGAATTTGAATGGCCTAAGAATATGATGCCGTCTAGTTTTGCCATGAAGGTAAGTTTTAAGTTATACTTGAAGCTAAATTTTAAGGCCCTGAGATTGGTCACTAACAATTGAAATTATAAATGGGTGTTTCTTCACTGTTATAAATAAAATAGAGATAAAATAGAGTAGTTGATAGATACTGGTTGAACTTCTCCCTTTTACCCTTCATGCCACTTTGTGCACCACATCTCTGTGTTCCCACAGTTACCGTTCTAACTCAAGCTTTCATAATGCTGGACATTATAGCCATTTAACTCTAATACTCTTCTCACTATCAAAACAATTCTGTATTAGACCAACATTCGTTTTTCTAAAGCATCATTTTCATTAGTTTTCCCACCTTTTATGATTCTCTAATTGCTGAATCCATATCCTATACCCCAGCATTCTTGGCTTTCTGTAATCTGCCCTCCTCCCTCCTTCCCTAGCCTTGTCTTCCACAGCTCACTTTTCAGCTACCAATCTGTATTTTGTTGGAATACTCAGTGACATTAGTATGCTACCAGCCATATCTTTTTACTTTTCACTTCTCTTTTTGTTTTTACTGTTAAAACTGAGATCCCACATTTGTGGATGTATTACCCTTTCGCTTATTTACACAAGAGATATACTGAAAAGCTCATGATGCAGAGGAAAGACATTAGAGTCAGATATACCTAACTTTGAATTAATGGTTTTGCTGCTGAATAATTTTATAACCTGGAAATTTTACTTAATCTCTTGGAACTTGTTTCTTTAAATGTGAAATGTAGATAATGCCTCCCTCATGGGATTATTGGTGAGGATTAATTGAAGTTACATGTAAAGCACCTAACACAATGCCTGACACATAATAGGGCTCCATATGTATTAATTTCCTTCTTCCTCTCCTCCTCACTTTCCTTCAGAAATTTATTTGTTTTGGCATTGTGTTATTTCATTAGAGGCTTTACAGAGAAGATCCTTATCCCCAGCAACTTAGAATCTGTTTTGGATTACACGTTAGGTAAGTGTTTCCCAAATCACAAGGCCTGTCACAAAATTATCAAATTCTTAAAAGTTTAATTTACTTAATAGTAACCCCAAATGGTTCTATTTTGGGGATTGTCCTTAATAATAATGACACTTTATATTTGTATAGTACTTTTCAAAGAATAATGCATACTTCATTTAAGTTGTTTAATAACTTGGATATGAAGAACTAATATTGTTTCAGTTTTACATATGATATAACAGATAATAAGATATATGATACTGGGACTGTATAAACATCCCCAAACGAGGCTACATCAATAGGAGGTCAGACACTCGAAAAAAAAAAAAAAAACTTAGAATTTAATGAGTTAGGTGTACATGTCGATCTAAATGTGTATAAAATTTCTCTTCAATGGAGCAGACAATGTTAAGTACTTTATAAATAACTAAAAGAGCTGCTACTGTTGTATGTCACAGGCAGGGTCATGTTTAGTATGTGGTAAATCACAGTGATTGTTCCTAATTCTCACATTTGGGGATGCCAGCTGTAGCTCTGTGGCACTGACAGAAGCTTGTTTTCACCAAGCTGCTAGTAGGGAAATAAAGAAAAAACAAGTTTTACATATGTATTATATGTCCATCTATACTCATGATAAGTTTCCCTTTTTCACCATTCCATGGTGTGGACTTCTGTTCCATTCAAGGATGCCTTTTATCTTCATTTTAACTTTATTTTTCTCAAAACATTACTGGGGGAATTGATTATGATTTTCACCTGGAGATTTAAAGACAGCCCTGAATGTAGGTCACTGTTTAAATCAAAATTAATATAGGCCACTTTTAAATGAGAACTATTGAATTTAGGAGGGAGAGATTATTCTATGAAGGTTGAAAAGTCTTACATCTGCCTGAATATATGTGAGTATATAATTCTGCCTGAATACATAAAATGAGAATTTTAGTCAATTTGAACTGTAGATCTGGAGAAGAACTCTTCTTAGTTATGAAAGAATTGGCATTAATTTGAAGAATGATCCTGTATATTATTATTATTCTCCTTTTTTTAAAAAATGGTTTTAGTTTAAATTCTCTGTAAAATTTGTTTTGGATTTGAGGCTTGAAGAAAAGAAAGCATTCTTTCTTTCTGGTCTTGACTAAGGGATCTTTCAAATTCAAATTTAGAAACAATTGTAAAAAATTTTTTTTAGGAGCTACAGAGTAGTCTTGTTTTTGGTCCATGTCATACTTAAATATTTGTACATGTAATATAAAACAGTAGGTGTTTACCAAGTAAATTGTCTTTGGGTTTAACATGTTAATTTTATTTTAATTGTTTATAAGAACAAGAACATTATGACTAGGATAAGAAGAATGGGATTTGATAAAGGATAGGAGTTACTACATTTGGATTTGAGCTACGTTGTTCAAAAGCCTGGAGATAGTACCAGAAAAATTCTGTTTGGGTTTTATTAATGAAGTTTGTGGGAATAGAGTGTAATTGGTTGTAAGTTGGAGGACTAATTTATACAATTCCAATAAGCTCCTGGTTCAGAATTTGTATTTGAAGTGAAAGATTAATGGAAACCACTAGTTAATCTTGAACACAAACATATGAAAGGAAATTTGGGATACTTAAAAAATTTCAGTAGAAAGAGGCTTAAAAAAAAGTTACAGCTTTGTGTGAGGTCCTCAGGATAAGAACGGATTTATTTAGCAGTGGTATAAAGCAACAACGTAAACTTCGCTATAGGTCTCTTACTGTCTACTTAAAAATTGGATATAAAATACTGTTTCAGAGTTAGCAGTCAGAGTTGTCTGAAATAAAATGTGTTTCCTCTGATTATGATTCTGTAAGTTTTAATTTTGACTATACTGTTTTATCTGTTAGTCTTAAGATGTTATTCTTGATGGAAATGAAAAGAAGAAACTTAATTATAAACCAATACTGAATGATTAGGAATTCACTTTTACTATATAAATGCCTGTTTTCTTCTCTTTCTTGCTAGTGCCGAAAACATTTGAAGAGTCGGAGATTAGTCAGTGCCAAACAGCTTGGTGTGGATAGAATTGTAGATTTTCAATTTGGAAGTGATGAAGCTGCTTATCACTTAATCATTGAGCTCTATGACAGGGTAAGTTAAATTTGGGGGATGGGGTGAGGAGAATTATTATATTGTTAATTATTCATGTAATAGTGCTGTCAGACATGGGCAGGGAACATTTTTTTCTTCTCAAAGGCCATTGATACACTAGGATAATAAAGTGCAACACAAGTAAAATGTAATTTTCCATTAATCTTCCTTTTTATCTGGAGGCCAGAATTTAGACAGACCATAGCCATTTAAAATAGCATTTGAGGGACTTCCCTAGTGGTGCAGTGGTTAAGACTCTGTGCTTCCACTGCAGGGGGTGCAGGTTTAATCCCTGGTCTGGGAACTAAGATCCTGTATGCCATGTGACATGGTCAGGAAAAAGAAAAAAAGAAAAACAAAAACAATAATAAAATAGCATTTGAATGTAGGAGACGAAGATCCGAGAACTGAAGAAATTATCTACTACTTTACATTTCAGGACTAGAGTGGTACAACCAGCAAATTGTCAAATAGTTTTGTCATAAATAAGACCGCAGTTGAGACTCAGGGACGTTGCCATGTTTTCAGTGTCATCAGTCGTAAGAGGAAGACTACTGATGGCCTCACCATTCTTGCTTCTTGCCTCTTAATCCTTCCATTTAGTTACCTGTTCTATCTTGGAAATGTTTCATGAGCTACCTACAGCAAAATAAATTCCATTTGCATCAAAAATTTAAATATAAAAAGTGAAACCATAGAAGTACTAGGTGAAAATATGGATTAAGATATATGAATTTGGGATGAAAAAGACTTTTAAGCCTAACAGTGAAAACAAATATTGATAGATATGACTGCTTAATTTTAAAGCTGTGTAAGGCAATGTAACTGTGTAAGGCAGAAAACACCATGAACTGTTGATACATGTATCAGAAGTGAAAAACTGGGGGAAAATATTTTAACTTGTATGGTAAATAAAATGCTCATAATCCTAATACGTAGTTTTCACAAACCATTCAAGTGGAAAAATGGGTAAAGTGCTTGATTACACAATTCAAAAAATAATACAAATGGCTTATGAAAGCATGAATACTGTATAAATTAACAGATTACTGAAAGATAAAAATGATAGTTTTCTTCCTCCCCTTTTTTTCTTTCTCTGTCAATATATAAATGATTGGAAAGTTTGGCAATAACCAGTATTATCAAGAATGTACAGGGAGGGCTTCCCTGGTGGCGCAGTGGTTGAGAGTCCACCTGCCAATGCAGGGGACACGGGTTCGTGCCCTGGTCCGGGAAGATCCCACATGCCGCGGAGCAGCTGGGCCCGTGAGCCATGGCCGCTGAGCCTGCGCGTCTGGAGCCTGTGCTCCGCAAAGGGAGAGGCCACAGCAGTGAGAGGCCCGCGTACCGCAAAAAAAAGAAAAGAAAAGGAAAAAAAAAAAAGAATGTACAGGGAGTTCCCTGGTTACCTAGTGGTTAGGATTCTGGGCTTTCACTGCTGTGGCCTGGGTTCAACCCTTGGTCAGGGAACTGAGATACTGCAAGCTGTGCAGCGTGGCCAAAAAAAAAAAAAAAAATGGGGAGAGAATTTAAAAAAGGATGTACGGGAACAAGGGTAGATTATAACCTTTTTTTTTTTTTTTTTTTCCAGGGAAGCCCGCAAGGGTAGATGAGAACGTTATTTTTGGAAGATTGTTTGACAGTATATAACATGATTTTTAAAGTTTATGTGCATAACCTTTGACGCAGGAATTCCACTTCTAGCAATTTATCATAAAAAACGTTTGAGGCAAGTGCTCAGGAAGGACCATACCAAGGATAGTCTTCATAGTGTTTATAATAGTTAAAACTTGGAAAGAAGCTAAATGTCTTTGTTTTTTTGTTGTTTGTTGTTTTTTGCTTTTTCTCCATTTCTCTGTGACTGTCATCTCTTAAATGTTCCCATTTATTTCTTGCATGAGTCACTTGGGCTGGACTTATCACAGCTTTTAAGCGGAAATTGGTCTCTAGTTGTTCCTCATGTGTGGAATTTTTCAATTCTAGCTAGACTCCAAGCGACTCCATTATTCAAAGCTAAATTTCTTTGAATAAGAGATTGGTTAAATAATTAAGGGAGACCTAAATAATAGAATGTGTAATTTTTAAAAATAATATTGAGCTGCTTGTTTTTTTTCTTTCTTATCAATGTTTTTTACCACATGCTTTTAATCATTTTAAGGTTTTTGTTAGATATATGACACATACATTATAAGTGTGCACTTTAGTGAACTATCAGAAGTGGATATACTTGTATTAGTTATTTACCTGGATGTGGGACCGGGACAGCGAGACCACCTGCTGATCCTTGCACTTGTCTTTAATTGTCTGTGCACTTCTCTTTGCCCCTAATTCCTTTACCCATCCTTCTGCCCCCGCTCCTCTGCAGGCAGCAGCAGCTACAGCTACAGTGGCTGCTCTCCTGGAATTGATTTTTGTATGTGGTCTCAGGTACTGGTCAATTAAAAAAAAATTTTGTATGATAACCTTTTTAAAACCTTTTTTGTTTTGAAATGATTATAGATTGCAACAGGAAGTTGCAAAGATAGAACAGAGAGGTCTGGTGTACTCTTCACCCAGTTCCCCTCAGTTGTTACATGTTACATAATTATATTACAATAACAAAATCAAGAAATCAGTATTGGTACAATGTATGCATATAATTCAATGCATTTCACCATGTTTGTAGATTCATGTAACCACCACTGCAATCAAGATACAGAATTCTTCCATTACCACAGAGATCCTCCTTGTGGTACCCCTTTGTAATAACACCCATCCCTCTTCCTCCCATCCCTGCATCCTGGCAGCTACTAATTTGTTCCATCTCCATAATTTTGTCATTATAAATCGGGTCTTTAACAAAGAAGGCAGTCTCAGAACCTTGGAGAAAAGGACATACCAGATAGTCTTAAATAGGAGTTGGTAAACTACAGCCTGTGGCCCCTTTTTGTAAAGCCTGTGAGTTTAAGAATGGTTTTTACAATACATTTTAAAAGAGCTCTTTAAAAAGAAAGAATATGCAACAGAAACCATATGTGGCCCACAAACCCTAAAATATTTATTATCTTGCCTTTTATGGGAAAAGTTTGCTGACCCCTGCTCTTAAATAATAGACTCATATTGTCTGAGCTAATACTGCTTGGACAGATGCCAGACTGTATCAGGGATGCCAAGTTAGGATTTTTAAGATTCTTTTTAGTCTAGAAGCAGATGCCTTCATGAAAATAGAGTGTTAGCCTATGATCTAGGACAATCAGAATTGATTACACAGGACTGAATAAACTGGGGAGAATCTGATTGTGGTTATTTTTTTCAGAATGTTGTTGATATTATTTTTATGATAGTTATATGATAAAGCCCTTCTGACGTGTAACTTAGTAACTATACTAGTGCTAGTTGGAGTGATACATTCTTTAAATGGTAGTTTGCTCTCTTTGTTCTCTTAGAATTTAGGAACACTTGCCTTTTACTGAGATTGCCTTTACTGCTCAAGACAATGTGTCTATTTATGTAGGTTCAATAAGAATTTGTCCTTTTTACCAGGTTACAATTAGGCAAATTGATTGTGTAGCCAAGGTCAAACCTAGAGTGTCACATTTGAGAATAAATCTCATTCAGTTAGGTGTGAAAAGCTCACCATTAAGGAAAAAAGGTTATACTTCATATGTAAAGCCAGTATCCACAAAGCCCTCCTGAGAACCTAGTCTTGTACCTTATCTGTGGCATATAGGATCCTATCCTGCAGGATACACTTCTTGTAGATTTGCGTGACTTCTCGTAGAGAAGAATTTACTCACATTTGTAGGTGCACCACAGACAAAACCAGTAGTGATTTTTTTCTTTTCCTTTTTTGGTTTCCATAGCTTTGAGTTAGAAGCAAATAGTAATTTTTAAGTCTCTGGAATAATAGAGGCTATTGAAGATATAATTCCAAATTTCTTATGAATTCTTCAGGCAGCAGTGATTATTAAGGCTTCAGTAACTGCTTGATACCATGTGGCTCTAGATTTGCTGTCTATATAGTTCATGGAGGTTTATATATATGTTAGTTAACATTTCTTGCTGCACCTGTGTAAATAAATCAGTCCAAGAAACAAAGTAGCTTTTTCTTTGTATATGTGTAATCAAAAATAATTTGAGATGTTGTAATCATGAGAGGAGACTGTTAAAAATTATCCAAAATTTGAAAAGAGACAAAAAGGACAAAATATCATTTTAGTATCTTGCCAGGTGTTGTCTAGCGTTGTCTAGCCGACACTCCTGGGGATTCTAGGGATGTGTTTTTTTTTTTTCTCTAGTTGTGGCGAGCGGGGACTGCTGTTCTTTGCGTTGGGTAGGCTTCTCATTGCGATGGCTTCTCTTGTTGCGGAGCGCGGGCTCTAGGCATGAGGGCTTCAGTAGTTGCAGCACGCGGGCTCAGTAGTTGTGGCTCACAGGCTTAGTTGCTCCACGGCATGTTGAATCTTCCCGGACCAGGGATTGAATCCATGTCCCCTGAATTGGCAGGCAGATTCTTAACCACTGTGCCACCAGGGAAGACCCTGCTATTTACTTTTGATTAGGCTCTTTTACAACTCGTTAAGGGTGGACTTTAACTTATAGAAAACTGATAGCAATGCAAATAATTCTTGCCTGATAGCAATGAAAATTAATTTAATCTAGTAGAGATTCAAATTATCTCTGTCCCCAGAGGTTGCAGTTTTATTGCCCTAAATTGGCAGTCGTGCACAATCATTCTTTTCTCACCCACTCTAAGTAGTCCACTTACTTCATTTCTCTTAGAACCAGTTTTGTCATCTAGTTCTCTCATTAATTAGTTGAATAACTTTTTGGCAGTTATAAAAATAGTATATTGTTTTCTGGTGACCACTGTTTCTTTTGAAACCAGTGTCAGTTATACTGTTGCTCCTTTGAAGGTAATCTCTCCTTCTTATCTGGGTGCTTTAAATTTTTTTCTCTTTGTCTTTGATTTTCAGTAGTTTGCTATGATATGTCTAGTTGATTTTCCTTTGTAATTACCTTCTGGGGTTCACAGTGCTTCTAGAATCTGTGAGTTGGTGTTTTTCATCAGTATGGGAAAATTCAGTCATATTTTCTTTTGATGTATCTTCCACTAATTTTATTGCTATCAGACAAGAATCATTTGGAATTACTCTATTATCTAATTCCTCTGATGTCTGTTTTATAGTCTATTGTTCTTTTAACTATAATTACATTGTCTTGTCTCCTCCCATGCCTGGTTACTTTATTGTGTGCCAGGCATTGAGTAGGAAAAGTAATAGATAAATCGTGAGACCTGGAATGATGTTATCTTCCTTTAGAGAGGATATTTGCTTTAGACAGGTAGCTCAGGACACAAGTAATCCCATATTACCTTACTCCAGTCAAGAATTGAACTGATTAGGAGCTGGGTGTGGGAAAGCTGGAAAATTTCCGGTTCACTCCTCCTGGGATGCAGCCTTTTGGGGGTCAGTATTCATAGCTGAACTTATCAGGGATAAATCCCCTTAGCCCCTACCCCTTTCACTTGGACACTGAACTCAAATTTTTACTCTCCTTAGTTGTCCTGTGAGCCTATCAAAATTCACACTCAGCTTCCCAGCCTGTCAGCTGATTCTTAACTGTTAGATAAATGATCCTGGGGAAGAAGTAGCTCTAAGTGTGGAGCTCACCTTTCTGAGTTTTCCTCTCCTAGATTTTGATCCTATAAATGTTTACTGCCGGTTTGCATTTTTTTGTTTCGTAAGAGACTTTGTATTTTGTCCAGTTTTTCTTTTTCTCAGTAGGACAATAGTTAGAATTATCTAGACTACCATTTAAATTAAAAATGTTTATACAAGTAGTACACAAATACATTCTCAGTATGTAGAAAAGTTTGTAGAATTAAAATTGAAGGTCTTATCATCCCTGGCCTAACCAGTTCCTCATCCCAAAGTAACCACTGTTATGTTTGGTGTCCTATTTATGATCCCTTTCCCCCACTCCCACCCACCCCAATTAAAAAACAAGAGAAGGTTTCTTTCATTGGGGGGCGGGAATCTCTAGAATGTAACAAATTGCAGGCTGCCTTAGGTTTAACTCAATGTGAAGTTTAAGTTATATATGACATAGGCCTTTCCTTTTTTTTCTTTTTTTCCTTTTTCAATTTAAACTTAGCACTTAATGATGTAAAATTTCTTTCCACAGAATAAAATAGTCTTTATTATCATTTAAAAATTTAAGTAATTTTTTTATTTTATAGTAATACTAGATTTGTAGAAAAGTTGCAAAGATAATAAAGAAAATTCTGGTATACCCTTCACTTAGTTTCTCTTAATGTTAACATCTTATATAACCATGGTACATTTGTCAAAACTGAGAAATTCACATTGGTACATTACTGCTAATTAAACTACAGACTTTATTTGGGTTTCACCAGTTTTTCTATTCATGTTCTTTTTTCTGTTCCGGGATTCAATCCAGGATACCCCCTTGCATTTAGGGTCTTTCTGTTTTGAAGGCTCTGCTCAATTGACATGTGTACTGTCTAGGTTCCAGAGGTCCACTTAGTGATGAGTTTGGAATAGATATTCAGGATTTATATCTGAGAGTATGTGCTTGGGAATTTTCAGTACTCACTGTGGTATTTAAGAGAAGTATGTTAGTTGATTCTTACAGGAGGTCTTGAAATACAGTAGATTGCTCTCTCCTCTCTCTATACCAGGGTCTGAGCTTCTAGCCTTCATGTCTGGAATTTTGATGTATGGTTTATCTAGAGTTGATCAGACCTTGGGTAAAGAGGCTGTTGCTATTCAGACTCACTTAAGAAAGTCAGTTTATTAATTTGTGAAAAGAAGGTTCCAGTAAGAAAGACTCTGGAGAAAGTAAGATTAGAAAATGGATTACTGAGTACATCAGAGACAAGTGCAGTATTTCCCCAAGTAAGTTCCTCGACACCACTTCCATATGATAATAGCCTAGAAAAATGGTTCCCCTAGTCATAAAAATTTGAAGAACCTTGAGAATAAATAAGGTAAATTTTTTTTTTTAACTCTAGGACTTACCAGTGCCTTTAGTATGATCATGTGATGTGTACATCCCCTAGGGAATGATATGTTACATAGAATTTCCAAAACTTATTAGATCACAGAATTTTTTTCTTTTTAATGGGAGTAGTGGAAACCATCTTAACAGAATACTTTTGGGAAACCTTGGTTTAAAGAAAGCCCTCTGAGGGAAGTAACTGCCTTACTGGAATCTTCCAGATGTTCTTGATAACTGCACAGTTTGATTCAACAAACATTTATTGAGCACTTTCTATGTGCCAGGTCCTATGGCCAGGTCTGTGTTTCAAGTCACACCTTTATGAACCAGTCAGACACTATATGGACTTCTATCCAAGTCTCCTACTTTCCTTCTCTAGTTAACATTTCTGTTAAGTTAAATGTTTAAATTTCTAAATGCATGATGTCTTTGAAGTTAGAACCTTTAGCAGTAGGTCCTACTCTTTCAACACCTAGTAACTTCAGGTTATCTACAGGCATTCCTCATTTTACTGAGCTTTGCTTTATGCTTCTCATATACTGCGTTTTTTACAAATTGAAGGTTTGTGGCAGTCCTGCATCAAGTAATTTTTTGCTGTCAGTGCCATTTTTCCAACAGCATTTGCTCACTTTATGTCTCTGTCACATTTTAAAAATTCTCACAATATTTCAAATTTTTTCATTACTATTATATTTTTATGGTTATCTGTGATCAGTGATCTTTAATGTAACTACGAACAACTCACTGAAAGCTCAGATGATGGTTAGCAGTTCTTAACAATAAAGTATTTTTAAATTAAGTACATACCTTGTTTTTTAAAGTATATTATTATCTTTATACACTATATTATACATTGTGTTATGATACATTATATTTTACATTATATTATTAAACATTATAATATAGTGTAAACATAACTTTTATATGGACTGGGAAACCAAAAAATTCATGTGACTTGCTTTATTGAAATATTTGCTTTATTTCGGTGGTCTGGAACCAAACCTGCAATAACGTCAGGGTATGCCTGTATACTTGTGATCAAGGTGAATAGTGGCCCCATCTAGTGAACATTATCTTGCAACCTGTTATTCCTCATGAGATTGGGGCTGTTCCCACCGTCTTCTGGGACCACCTTCTAAGTACTTGCTAAGGCATTTGTGACCATTTATTTTCATGGATGCTTCTTTGTATTTTAATTATACAACAACCTTCACTGTCTATAATAAATTTGGAAGTTTGTGTTTTTTGGGCAGTTTTATTTTCATTAGGTTTCTCCCCTGGTTTTTATTGAAAAGATTATGTAACAATATTAAGTTTTAAGAAGACTTTTAAATCCTCACTCTTTAATAAGTATTTTAATTTTTCCTGTGTTTGCCTTCCACTTCCCAGGATACATTTGCCTTCTACTTCCCAGAATACAGGATTTTTTTGTCCTCCTATTTTTTACTTAACATTATAAACATTTTCCTACTTTTTTTACATAGTCTTTTTTCAAAGAATCAATTTTATTTATTTATTTATTTTTGGTTGTGTTGGGTCTTCGTTGCTATGCACAGGCTTTCTCTAGTTGCATCAAGCGGGGGCTACTCTTCGTTGCAGTGTGTGGGCTTCTCAATTCTGGTGGCTTCTCTTGTTCCGGAACACAGGCTCTAGGCGTGCAGGCTCTAGTTGTGTAGTTGTGGCACATGGGCTTAGTTGCTTCGCGGCATGTGGGATCTTCCCGGACCAGGGCTCGAACCTGTGTCCCCTGCATTGGCAGGCAGATTCTTAACCACTGCACCACCAGGTAAGTCCTACATAGTCTTCTTAAGTTAACAGCTTTTAAATATTTTGTCATATTAGTATAATTTATTTATCAATATCTCCAATTTTTTTTTATATTCAATATCTTTTTTTTCATTTTAACATCTTTATTGGAGTATAATTGCTTTACAGTGGTATGTTAGTTTCAGCTTTACGACAAAATGAATCAGTTATATATATACATATGTTCCCATATCTCTTCCCGCTTGCGTCTCCCTCCCTCCCACCCTCCCTATCCCACCCCTCCAGGCGGTCACAAAGCACCGAGCTGATCTCCCTGTCCTATGTGGCTGCTTCCCACTAGCTGTATCTACCTTACGTTTGGTAGTGTATATATGTCCATGCCTCTCTCGCACTTTGTCACAGTTTACCCTTCCCCCTCCCCATATCCTCAAGTTCCAATTTTTACATTTAGGCTGTTTGCAGTTTTTTTCTATTGTAAGTAAGATGCAGTTTAAGCATGTAGCTTCTGGTTTTATTGAGTATTACACTAGGCCACATAACCAAGTGTGGAATTCCTTGGTCAAAGGGTATAACGGCCTTTATTGATTTTTCCATATAACTAATTGCTATTCAAAGACAAATTGCAGGTGACAGTATAAATAGCTCTGTGTTTGGCTTCTGAAATATATGTTGTTTTTCTCAATAAGCCACAGTGTTTGTAGATTTGCCTCAACCAAGTACAACATTAAGTTCAGTTGGTGGTCATCAAGGTGTTAATTGATTATTCTGCTTCTAATAGTGACCTCTGCAGAACCACCAGACAATGAGTTTAAAGTTGCTCTTGATTCCTTCATTGTGTTTCAAACTTGGGGTGTTTAGATTTATTTTATTTCATAGTCTGTGCTGGGCAAGTGCAAGGAGCACTGTTTAGGTGCAACTCAAATGCTTTGTGTTTGTAACTTCATTTCTATAGCCTTGATCGGGTTTTTAAGAGACTGCATTTTCTTTCTCAATTTTTAAGAAGATTTAAGAATGATTTGGGAAAAGCATTAAATTATATTTTATTCTATTACAGGGGAACATTGTTCTTACAGATTATGAGTACCTAATTTTAAATATCCTAAGATTTCGAACTGATGAGTCAGATGATGTTAAATTTGCTGTTCGTGAACACTATCCAGTTGATCATGCTAGAGCTGCTGAACCTTTGCTTACCTTGGAAAGGTAACATGATGTTTGTTTAACTCATTTCATATTGTATTTCATAGTAAAATAGATCATATGTCAGAATATGAAAGAACTGTCACATAAGAAAATATTCTGTTTACTTGAATAAAATAAATTTGGGCTGCTTGAACTACATAAGTGTGTGCTTAAATGTAAGCAATTAAGCCTTATTTGGGAGTAGCAAATGTATGTTTTTTTAATCTAAGTTTGGTGTTACTTCAGATGTTTATGATTTCTTGGTAAAGTGGGGGAATTTATTAGCTGTTCTGTGAGAAGACAAATGGATATCTTGGCAGAGCGCAAAAGGAGATAGGAATTCTGGTTTAGCTTAAAAATAGGAGTATGATGGGATAAGGTGCTGACTATAACTGTACTCTTCTGGCTGGAAGGCTTTGCTAATAGGCTACAGCAGTGGTTTTCAAAGTTTAGAATGCATCAGAATCACCTAGAGGGCTTGGTAAAATGTAGATCCCCCTGCCCCCACCAGGTTTTAAGTAGATCTGGTGTAGATCCCAGGAATTTACATTTCTAACAAGTTTGCAGGTGAGGTTGATGCTGATTTCGGGGGGAATACTGTGGCCCACAGCATCCTTGAGTTCTTTCTAAATGTTTAATTAGGTAAAGCCATTTCAGATGTTAAGATATATCACCAGGGAGGGATAACTTGGGAGATTGGGATTGACATATACACACTACTGTATATAAAATAGATAACTAGTAAGAACATGCTGTATAGCACAGGGAACTCTACTCAATACTCTGTAATGGCCTATATGGGAAAAGAATCTAAAAAAAAAAAGAGTGGATATATGTATTGATATATGTATAACTGATTCACTTTGCTGTACACCTGAAACTAACACAACATTGTGAATCAACTACAATAAAATTTTTTTTTAAAAACCCATATATCACCAGTCTCCACAAACTACGTTTAACTGTTGCATAAAAATGTGTCTTTCACGTCATATATGGGCATGCTGACGATAAGCAGTATGACTTCGTTGAAAAAGTATTGATGTTCCTTGGAAAACTTGGTTTCAAGTCCCAGTCTGCTGTTCAGGAACCTACTAAACTTAGATAAATTACTTTTATGATCCTTTTTTTTTTTAACCTATAAAGTGAACTAACTCCTCTTATATTTTAGGGTATTTTGAAGATCAGGCAAATTGATGCATATGAAAGTACTGTGAACATGAATATGGCTGTAGGGTTTATTAAATATAAGATAGTAAGGGGTGTGTCAATTTTGTTTCACAGATTGACCGAAATAATAGCCAGTGCACCTAAGGGTGAACTACTGAAGAGAGTTCTTAACCCATTACTTCGTGAGTAATCCTATATAGAGCAATGAAGTGTTTGTAAGATAATATGGTTTCTTAGAAATATATGTAACACATTGAAATCTAGTTCTAGTAGAAAATTAGAACAACTTGATAAATGTAGAAAGGAGTTTAAAATGATCTTTTGAGTAAATAAGTGTTTATTTTCAAGGAAAGAGAAATTTGTTATACCATATGAACTTTGACCTTTATGTTACGTCTTATTTAAAAGCAATACAGTTATGTAAACAAACTATGTTGTCTAGCACTTGAGCGCAAGCTGTAGTTTTCTAAGAAATCTTTTTTTTTGTTTTTTTTGTTTTTTTCAGTGTCCGTCTTTTTGATTTAATAGTCACTTAGCTTGGTTGGGTTTTCTTTGTTTTGCTTTTTGTTTTTTATTGGTGAGTCTCAGGGCATTCCAAGGTCTGCCAGGTGCTGCTGATAACCAGGGTAAAGATAATCTAATCAACTTTTACACTTGAGAAAATCATCACTTATCCCTATACTAAGGAATCTGGGGAGGACATATGAGAAGGCAGGTACCATTGATTACTACAGGAGTTACTGTTTAGAATGCATTAAAGTTATCTTTAAAACTTTCCATCTGTTAGTATAGCATGTTTAAAATTTGTAAGTTTGGATTTTTCTATTTCTTTATTCTGTTAATATGGTGTATTACATCAACCAGTTTTTGGATGCTAAACCAACCTTTCGTTCCTGGTTTATAATCCTTTTTATACGTGGCTAAATTCCATTAAATTCCTATAACTTTTGCATTGACTTCTACAATTTTATTGTAGTCTCAAATTTTTATAAATACTTGAACTGTCATTTCTAATAACATTTCAAAACAGTTAAACTAATTATTAGTTTCACTGGCTACTGTTATTGAGTAGATCATTTATACTGGGATATACATTAGTATTTTGAACGTGAAATTTTATAGGAAAATACTACAAATAATATCCTCTGCTTTTATAGCCTGTGGGCCAGCTCTCATTGAACACTGTCTTATAGAAAATGGATTCTCTGGCAATGTCAAAGTGGATGAAAAATTTGAAAGTAAAGGTATGTGTGCATGCTACAAGTTTTGCCCATTTTTATTTCATTTTTTTAAACCTATGAAAATTATTTCTGGAAAAAGTAATAAGTGATTGGGTAGTTCTAGACTTAAAAACATTTGACCTGTTAGTGTTCTATCCATATGGTATTCCTGGCTTCCTACTCTAATGTGACACTTTATCTGTAGTAACATGCAGTTTAATCTCTTGACCTACGTTATTACCTTCTGATTTTAGAATATTCTCCCTCCCTTCCCCTAAATTTTGGAAGGGGTTACTGCACTTGAGACAGTCTCTGGTACAAGGCTTGAAGGAGTTGAGTTATTCACCTTCAGACTCAGAACCTGAGGGGCTTCTAGAAGTAGCATTATTTATGCATTTTAATTCTGTAAGTGCTGTGGTGTGACTTTATAATGAATTAGGCTTTTGTAACTACTTAAGGGAACCTAAATTAACTTCCAGATTAGGATAATAAAAAATTAGAGGAAATATAAGGAAAATGGAAGCTTTGGTCTTTGACAAATTTTTATCTGCAGATTCTCACATAAAATGAAAAAAAAAATCATTCTTCATATTTATATTTTGGGATTTATATTACTTCTTAAGGTTTAGGGATCATTTTTATGATGCACAAATGTAAAATTTTTGTGCATTTAAAAATACAAACTGAATGTTTGAAATGAATGATTTAGTTTCTGAAACACATGAATTTAGTGCAATCCTGTTCGAAATGCTGACAGGTGATATTGTTATTTTTGCTATTGCACTTCCTTTTTTAAATGAATCTGATATGTGCAATAAAAAGCATACAAAAATGTTCAGGAAAACTCTGGAAAATAATAGTAGTGATGGAGTGTAATCTTTTCATAAATTAAAATGTATTATGAAGCTATAGTAATTAAAAATTAAGTTTTGGGAGAAGGAATACACAGAATAAAGAATTCAGAAACAAGCCCAAATATATATGGCAATTTAGCATATGAACAAAGTGGCTTTCATATCATGAGGGGAAAGATGGATTCAATAAAAGCTATTGGGACAACAAGCTGGCCAAAATATATTCTTATTTAATAAACTGATTATAAACATGAAACAACTATATTTAATTTTCTTGAACAACTTGTATTATTTCATAAGCACTTCTGTTTTCTACATAGATGTTTAATAATAGTTATGGACAGTTGATTGACACTCCTTGTTTCCTTTCTCATTCCCGTATTAGATATTGAAAAAGTACTTGTTTGTCTTCAGAAAGCAGAAGAGTATATGAAAACAACATCCAACTTCAGTGGAAAGGTAGCGCCACAAATACTTATTGTATATTGTTGATGTTTTACTTATTTAGATTTTTAGAATTTAAATGTTCATTGAAGGATCAGTATATGTAAATTTTTTGTTGTAATTTGGAAATTTAACACCTGTAATATGCTTATTCTAGGGTAGTTTTTTTTAATTGCTGTTGGTTTCTGATTTTTCTCTTCCTTAAATCTATAAAGTACTGGGTCAAGACAATATTGGCACTCCTGAAAAGTTGAGGAATTTGAAAATATTTCCTCTTAGGTTGATTTTAGATAGAGAAGCACGTCTTAATTTGCCAGCACATTCCAAAAATTTACTGATTAACATCTTTTTAATTATTAAATATCCTCTGAGTTACCTCATATCTTGTTTTTCTCCCCTATTCAAAGTATATGACTTTACTTACAAAAACCGTTCAGGAAAAGTTCTGATTAATTACAGCTAAATTCACTCCAAATATACCCTGCACCCAGTTACTAAAATGAATTAAAATTTCCTATCGGCAAAGTGAACTGAAGATGTTTCTGCTGGAAGTAAGGTGCTTTTGGCTTTTTTAAGTTGCAGAACATCTGAAAAATGGCAAGAAAAAAGCAAAATGCACATGTATAATCTCACCACTTTATCAAATCATTAGTTTTCATTTTCTTTATTCCCTGTTTTTTTCTTGTTCATATGAATAAGTCAGTATTTTCTAATGGTACTTACTGAGTCTTAAAAACATCACTTTGAGAAATGATACAATCAGTAGACAAATGCTGATTGTTTATAACTAGAATAATTTTGTAAGTTAATAAAATTAATATCATTCAAGGAAAGTAAATCTGTTAATTATGAATAGAAATTAGTTTTAATGTTGGATTTTTGTAGGGGTATATCATTCAGAAAAGAGAAATAAAACCAAGCCTGGAAGTAGATAAACCTACCGAAGACATACTCACGTAAGTATGTAGGCATGGGTCAATTTGCTTTGGGTGTTATTAATGTTCCTTTCTTTTTCTTTTTCTTTTTTTTAAATAGATTTATTTATTTTTGGCTTCATTGGGTCTTTGTTGCTGTGCATGGGCTTTCTCTAGTTGGGGCAAGCGGGGGCTACTCTTTGTGGCAGTGCGTGGGCTTCTCATTCCGGTGGCTTCTCTTGTTCCGGAGCATGGGCGTGTGGGCTTCAGTAGTTGTGGCACACGGGCTCATTAGTTGTGTCTCGCAGGCTCCAGAGTGCAGGCTCAGTAGTTGTGGTGCACAGGCTTAGTTGTTATGTGGCATGTGGGATCTTCCCGGACCAGGGATCGAACCCGTGTCCCCTGCATTGGCAGGCGGATTCTTAACCACTGCACCACCAGGGAAGTCCCTATTAATGTTCTTGGTAAATATGTTTTACAGGTATGAGGAATTTCATCCTTTCTTGTTTTCTCAACATTCACAATGTCCATATATAGAATTTGAATCATTTGACAAGGTGGGTTTTCTGATTCTGTTTTTTGACCAGTTAGCATGATGTGAGTTGTTAAATTAATATCAACTTGCTTTGATTGACAAATTGAAAATATTTCTGCTTTACAGTCATTATGAATCTGGACATTAAAAACCAGTGCAGTCACAGATACAAACTAGTGGAAATGTTTGTTGTTTCTTTATTTCAAGATGAAGGACCAAAGATTTGAACTTAATTTGATTCCTGACTGCTTAGCTATATAATACATTTACTGGAAATCTACTCAAGTTCTTTGAGTGGTGTTATGAAGCAAAATGGACCCTAAAATTCTGTGCATGCAAGTTGAAGCAGAGACCATGTTTGTGTGGTTTTTTCCAGCTAGTTGATTGTCTTTTTCTTCTTTTGATAAGGCCGTAGATGAATTTTATTCCAAGATAGAAGGTCAGAAAATAGATTTAAAAGCTTTGCAACAGGTATGGTGTTATTAAAAACATTTATATAAACCAGCTAGCCTTGAGTGTGGTTTACTGGGTAGGTGATGCTCTCATACGGGAATGGGCAGCCTTTTAGAAGTAGTTTGGGAATGCCCTGATCTCTTGGTATATTAATAAAGGTCCAGGGGAACTATCCGTGTTTAAAAAAAAATACGCTCATTTGCTCCATTAGAATATCAAATATTCTCTAAACCAGAAAATACAGTGGGAAGGAGGCCTGTTATTTATTCCCTGGTATAATTTGCTTTATTACAACCACCCAGAGCTTCTCAAACATTGCTGTAAAGGGAATAGTGTTTCAAAGAGGAGATTTTTAAATAGGCCAAAGGAGAGGGAATAGTTTTCTCTATACAAATAAGTATATATTTGTTTATCATTAAACTGTTTTCTTTTTTAAAGTGTGCTTTTGAACTAGGTCTTTAATATGCTTTGCATGTATCATGACTCCACAAGGAGGGTTTAATATGCTGTGTTTTGTTTTCCCAGCGCATTTGACCATGTTTGGGGAGCTTTTACTGCAGAACAGTTTCAGAAAATGGCCAAAGTCACGCTTGATTCGATTTTTCAGAAATATTCATAGAATCTTAAAATATGTGTGCAAAAACTTGAAATTATGTGAATCTCTGTATCCTCCCCACCTTGGCTGTAAAAAAATTAACAAGAGGGGAATTTCAAAGCAAGTGGGTCACATGAGTTACATAGTGTAGTGTGATTGCTACATGGTGGCAGCACTTTAGTAAGTAAACAGATATTTAAGAGTAACATTGAACCCCATGTACATCAGAATACCCGTGAATTATTTTAGTAATCACTGTGTGTTCTTTTAATAGTCACCATTCTTATAACTTAAATATTTTTAATATTACATCCAGCATGCAAACATTCACTAATTGGTGATGCTATTACTAGTGTTACAAAATTAGCCCCACATCAGTAACCTTAATATGTAAGTTCCGTGTGATAGAATGCTATACAGCCATCCCTTGGTGTCTGCAGTAGACTGTTCCAGGAGCCCCTGTGGGTACCAAAATCCAAGGATATTCAAGTCCCTTATATAAAATGGTGTAGTACAGGGAATATAGTTAGCCTCCCATATCTGCAGATTTCGTATCTGCAGGTACGGAGGGCTCACTTTATAAAAGTTCACATAACTACCATGAGCCTTTGTGTTGTTAATTTAGGAAAAAGAATACTCTGTAAAATACTAGAAATAAGGCTGAGAAAATTAAAAGCAGCAATAAAATAAAAGGAAGCTATTTTAGGAATTAATGCTAAAAATGTATTCCCCCAAACTTTAATGTCATAGGGAAAAATGTCTTGAATTCTGCCTGCTTGAATAATGCAAGGGCATTAGGGCATATCTTACATACAATGTAACCTGTAATCAAAATACCTTCCTATATAGGGAATGGGATGTAGATGGTCAGGAGAGGTAATTTTGGAGCAGGAAACACTTTGGGGTAGGATAGACCTGGGGAGATGGACTATGGGGAACTTTAGCTAGTTAGGCAACAACATTGAGGGGGCAGAAGTAGGGGTGGGATAGTGAGTTTCAGGAGGTAAAAGAGAGAAGGTACAGAAGGTAGAAGAAATCTAATTTTTAAAAACTCTGTTTTGTTAACAAAAGGAAAAACAAGCATTGAAGAAATTAGATAATGTCCGAAAGGATCATGAAAACAGATTAGAAGCTCTTCAGCAGGCTCAGGTATTATGTTTAGCTTTTTCAGATACTTTTTCAAAAATGGTAACTTTGGCATCCTAACACATGTTTTTGGTTTATTTCATAAGGAAATAGACAAACTTAAAGGAGAGCTTATAGAAATGAACCTACAAATAGTTGACAGAGCCATTCAGGTTGTTCGAAGTGCTTTAGCCAACCAGATAGACTGGACAGAAATTGGGTTAATTGTGAAAGAAGCCCAAGCTCAAGGAGACCCTGTTGCAAATGCAATCAAAGAATTAAAACTACAAACAAATCATGTTACAATGCTGCTAAGGTAAGTTTGATTCTTAGTTAACAGTTAGTGTTTGTCTTTATTTTGCTATTTAATTTTTCACTGTTTTCATTGAAATTTTTTTTATTTGGAAATTTATCTTTGAAAATACAGAAAAAAATTAATTTACATTAAAATAATGCAACTATTTAAGTACCGTAAACCATTTATAATTTCCTTGAGAAAAAAATTGAAAATAAAAAAGTGATGTCATTGACATTAGTGAAATACTATTGAATATTTTTAATAGAAATCCATACTTGTTATCAGAGGAGGAAGATGATGATGTTGATGGTGACATCAGTACTGAGAAAAATGAAACCGAGCCACCAAAAGGAAAAAAGAAAAAGCAAAAGAATAAGCAACTGCAAAAGCCTCAGAAAAATAGGCCATTGCTTGTTGATGTTGATCTCAGCTTGTCAGCATATGCCAATGCCAAAAAGTAAGTCATAAATTTAAGTATTTATTTAATTTATTTATTTATTTATTTGTTTGCCACGCTGCATGGCATGTGGGGTCTTCGTTCCCTGACCAGCGTTGGAATCCGTGCCCCCTGCATTGGAAGCACAGAGTCCTAACCACTGGACCACCAGGGAATTCCCATAAGTATAAATTTTAGGTATAATATTATCTGCAGTAAATCTGTTAGGGTATTAAGGATAAGAACTATCATTTTTTTGACTGTATATTCTTTGAGGTGAAATACTCTTTTAAAAGTATTTAAAGTTCTTGATGATTTGTGAGTCTGTAAAATTAGAAATAACATAAATAGAAAACTAAAGAATAAAGATTTTATCTAAAATTAAAAGGTATATTTTTCTAGGTATTATGATCACAAGAGATATGCTGCTAAGAAAACACAGAAGACTGTTGAAGCTGCTGAGAAGGTACTTAATATTTCTTAGAATGAACGTTAATTGTTTTTCTCTGCTTTATTAATTTAATGGACTTAATTATTTCTTCTCTTTAAATGAGATTTTCAAATTCAGAAATACCTTTCAGACTTAATTTTGCTTTAAATGTGTGTATTTCCAGTATTTATTTTCTCCCCTAACCCTCTCTTCCCCAGGTCTCTATCTCAGTAATTATCCCTTTTTTGCTCAAGTTAAAAATGTTGGAGTCATCCTGGACTCTTCTCATATCCAGTCAATCCTTTTAAATAAAAAATGAAGTCATTTCTCTCTGTTCAACATCTTCCAGTTTCTTCCCATCTTACTCAAGACACCTTAAAGCCTGGATCAGGTAGGGAGGCCTATCTGCTTCCCTCTGATCACATCACCCACACTCCTCTTGTTACACACTGTTTCCAGCCACAGTGGGATCTTAAGCTCTTCCTACATCAGTGGCCCATACTGCCTTCTCAGGGCCTTTGCACTTGTTCTTTCTGCCAAGAATGTTCTCCCCTCAGATTTTTCATGGTTTGATCCCCCTCATCATTCATGGGTCTACTTAAGACTATCAGAGAGGCCTTTCTTGACCACTCTTAGTAAAAATAAAACTACCTCAATCACTCCCTTTTTACTCTTGTTTTTCTTTTTTAAAAACACTCATCCCAACATATGTTTATGTCTTCTCTCTAGAATGTAGATTGCATGAAAGGATCTTTATCTGTTTTATTCATTGCTGTGTCCCAGTCCCTAGAATATTGCCTGAAACATGGTCACATTAATATCTGTTAAATGAGTGGTCTTCATGACTTAGCTCTCTATCTGCCTCTTCAACCTCATTTACCCTATGATCATACTTGCTGGTCAAGCTGGCCTTTTCCTTCTGCTTACAGTGCTCTTTGTATTCTTTGCCTTGATAATTCCATTAATCCTTCAGGCTTCAGCCTAAATGCCATTTCCTCGGAAATACCTTCTTTGACCATAATCAGTTATAAATTAGGTTCCCTTGTTATACTCTCATAGCATCCTTTGAAACATTTACCCTGTTTATTTGAATAATTATGTGTTTCATATATGTCTCTTCTCCTAGACCCCAGTGGGGTAGGAAGTAGAAACTTTGTCTTGTTCATTGTGTGTCTCTGACATCTAGCCCAAAGCCTATTATATGGTTGCACTGAGTATATGGTAAACAGATGAACTCTTTTTCATTGTAGGTCTTGAGCAGATACTTGTATACAGATCATTTTAATATTTAAGGCCAAAATTTCTTCATTTTATTACTTAAAAAAAAATAAATTTATTTATTTATTTATTTGTGGCTGTGTTGGGTCGTCGTTGATGTGCTTTCTCTAGTTGTGGCGAGTGGGGGCTGCTCTTCGTTGCGGTGCATGGGCTTCTCACTGTGGTGGCTTCTCTAGTTGTGGAGCATGGGCTCTAGGCGCACGGGCTTCAGTAGTTGTGGTGTGGGCTCAGTAGTTGTGGCTTGCGGACTCTAGAGCACAGGCTTAGTAGTTGTGGTGCACAGGCTTAGTGGTTCCACAGCATGTGGGACCTTCCTGGACCAGGGATCGAACCCGTGTCCCCTGCATTGGCAGGCGGATTCTTAACCACTGTGCCACCAGGAAAGTCCCCATTTTATTACTTTCATGTGTGTATGGTGTGTGTGTATAGATAGTGCCATTTGTGACATTTAAAAACCCATTTCTTCCCCTGTCATTTACTTGGTGATATTTAAGTAAATTTTCAACAGATTACTTAAAGACTCTTTTCTTATGAATAGGCATTCAAATCAGCAGAAAAGAAAACAAAGCAAACCTTAAAAGAAGTCCAGACAGTTACCTCTATTCAAAAAGCAAGAAAAGTATATTGGTAAGTATTCTACCTTTTTAAAATACATTTTTTCTTTCTATCAAAATTATACATGCACATTATTTAGAAAATCAAGCAGTTCTACAAAGCTTGTTAAAAAACCAGTAACCCCGCAAACTTTTATCCCTACTCCTATTGCCTCCTCTCCCAAGGAAACTTTTAGCTCTTTTAGCTGAATCTTTTGATATATACCTCCATTTCTCTTAGTAATATATTGCTGCTTCTTAATTTTTCTGTTTTACACTCTATTAATAACTTCCCACTATGGAAAGTGAAGATTTTATTCTTTCCATTTGTGCTCTGTTACATACACACACATCACCTGGCTTCTCAGTATACTTACAGCATAATTTTGTCAAGACCAATGTTCTGTGTTAACATTATTATGAATATTTAAGTTGTAATCAGAGCTGGATCATATAGTATTCTGTTTTCCTTTCCTGCTCAGTATTTTATCTTCCCTGAAGTTAATAATTGTTTCATTTGCTTTCTTTTTATTTTTGTTCTTGTTATTAGCCATGTCCAAATTGGCTTCCAAGTGTGTTCAAACATATTGGAATTTTATCAGTATCATCTTCTTGCAGAAGTCTTTCCTGGAGCTTTTTGACCTACTTTGTTCTAGATTGGTTACTGTAAGCATTTTAAGATCTCCTTTTATTATTATCCTGGAACTTCTCTGTAACCTCCCTCTGTGTTGTATCTTCTGTCCTGAATCTCACACTTCCTTTTTCTTTGGTTATGGACTATGTGCTCTAGAAGCTTCATGAAAAGGGGTATGTAGAAGTTAAAGTTTTTGAGGTGTCCAATGTATAAAAAAATTATTTTACTCATAGAGTTTGGATGGGTATAGAATTCTAATTTGAAAATATGTTTCCCTCAGACTTTTAAAAAGGCATTGTCCATTGTATTAACTTCCAGATTTGATCTTGAGTTTGCTGTCATTTTGATAGTTGCTATTTTAATAGGAAACTTGTTTTTGCCTTTCTGTAAGCTTCTAGATCTTTTTTTTCTTCCTCTCAGTTTTCCAAAATTTCACAGGAATATGGGTTGGTGACGATGTTTTTATCCGTTATGCTGGATACTTTGTGGGCCTTTTAAATTGGAAACGTGGTTTGGAGAAATTTTCTTGAACTATTTCTTAGAAAATTGCCTACCTTCTGTCTGTTTTTTTGTTTTCTTTTTCTTTCTTTCTCTCATGTTTTACATATGGGACACCCCCCCTCCCTTAGCAGTCCTATTGCATTGCATTTTCTGTTTTTCAACTTTTTGTTGTGTATTCTGAGATTTTCTCAACTTTATCTTTCAATCCTTCCATTGAATTTTTTAATCCTTTATTTCTTCCTATCATGTTTTAATTTTAAGCTGTTTTTGGTTTTTTGAATGTTACTTTAAAAAAACTTACTGCTCTAGTTTCTTTATAACTGAGAATAGTTTTGATGTATTACATTTTATTTAGTATCCTTTCCTTGCAGGTCTGTCTTCTCCAAGTTTCTTTTTTCTATTTGTTGGTTTTGTCTCCAGTGTTCACTTGTGTACATCTGGTGATCCTTGACTGTCTACTCACTTTTTATAGCAAAACATTAAAATGGTGATTGGAAGTTCTTTATGGGTTGTTGGACTTGTAAAATGATCTGTGTGGGCCATCTGTGGAACTCTTGAAGTCTTTAGCTTTTTGCCTTTTCAGCTGGTCTCATTTCCCACAAAAGCTTCTTTCTCTTCTATTTGTAAAGTGAAGACCTGGCTATCACCATTTTGGGAGTTCAGTGGAAATAATAAGCTGGAGAGTCTTAGTATCCAGTATTTCATACATTTACTTAATTGCCCTATTTTACATATATCACCCCTACTTACAACTGTGATACGTTTCCCCTAGTCCAGAGATCCTCTTTGTACCCTTTTTAGAGAATTAATTTCTGACTTTTTGTTAGAGTGTTGAAGGGGCAGTTACCACCATGTTCAGAGCTGGAAAGATCTAGGGAAGTGCTTACTTCTTGATAAGATTTTCAGCCAGTTCTTCTGTTTTTAAACCTCATCTTAAACCCTATTTCTAGCAGTACCTGTGCTCTTTATGGGTCATACAGTGTAAGTCGATTTGTCTCTTGGTTTTTTGCACTGTCAGCTCAGGATTCAGCTTCTTGAGTCTGCTCACTTGTTCATTTATTTTCCAGCTTTCAAAATTTTGTTGCTTTTTTCTTTCTCTCTCTAACATCTCTATTGATGAATATGATTGACCTATAATTTTCATTTCTCATAATGTTTTTGTTAACTGTTGGTACAAGGTTATATTATCTCATAAAACAAATTGGAAAGTGTTTCTTTATCACTTGTCCTTAAATGTTGATGGAAGTCACCTGGAGTTTTCTTTATGGGAAAGTTTTTCATTACAGATTCAAATTCTTTAGTAGATAAAAGGACTACTCAGGGGCTTCCCTGGTGGCGCAGTGGTTGAGAGTCCGTCTGCCAATGCAGGGGACGCGGGTTCGTGCCCCGGTCTGGGAGGATCCCGCATGCCGCGGAGCAGCTGGGCCCATGAGCCATGGCCGCTGAGCCTGTGCTCCGCGACAGGAGAGGCCACAATAGTGAGAGGCCAGCATACCACAAAAAAAAAAAAAAAAAAGGACTACTCAGATTTTCTAGTTTTGGTTAGCAATGTTTTTCTAAGACTTTGTCTATTTCGTCCAAAGTTTGAAATTTATTGGCAAAAAGTTTATAATATTCCACTTAACTTTTTTTTTTTTTTGGGCCACGCCGTGCGGCATGTGGGATCTTAGTTCCCTGACTGGGGATCAAACCCGTTCCCTCTGCAGTGGAAGCGTGGAGTCTTAACCACTAGACCACCAGGGAGGTCCCTCCACTTAAGTTTTTAACATCCCTAGAATCATTAATTACTTCTCCCTTTTCATTCAAGAATTATTTGTGCCTCTTCTCTTTCTTGATTAATCTGACCAGAGGATTTTCAGTAGTATTAATATCATTAAAGAACCAGTTTTTGACTATTGATCTCCAGTATTATATATGTGCCTTCTATTTTAATAATTATTTTCATCCTTCTACTTTTCTTTGGGATTTATTTGCATTTTCCTTTCTGATTTCTTGAGACAGAAGCTTAGTTCATTGATTTCCCCCTTCCCCCGGCCTCTTTTCTAATATATGTAAGGCAGTGAATTTCCCTCAGCATGGCTTTAACTGTATCTAAAAAGTTTTGTTGTTTAGGATTTTCATTATCTTTCATGTCAAGATATAGTCTAATTTCCATGGTGATTTCTTCACTAATGCGTTATTTAGAAGTATATGTATTACTGTCCAAACACATGGGGGTTTTGGGTTATCTTTTTGTTACTGATTTTTAGCTTTATTTGTGTAAAAGAGGTGATATTCTGAATTATCTCAGTCATTTGGTGTTTGTTGTTGAAACTTGCTTTATGGCCCGGTCTATTTATGGGCAGCTTTATTTATAAATGTTTCATATATAGTTGAAAATAGTGTCTTTTCTACAGTTACTGAGTGCATTTCTCTAAATATCAGGTCATGTTTATCAATCATGTTGTTCAAATCTTTGGCACCTTTATAATTCTCTTTTTAATGCTTGTTTTCCCAGTTACTGAGAGAAGTGTGTTAAATATCATACAGTTTGGATTATCTGTTTCTCCTTTTACTTCTGAACTTTTGCTATGTGAGGCTGTGTAATTAGGTGATACAAATATAGAACTGTTATATCATCTCAGTGAATTGAGCCTTTTATTAATTTTAATGAAATGTCCTTTTAACTTATATCTATTTTTTCCATCTGTGTGAGTTGTTAAAACTGTATAAACTGTTTTTTGGTTAGTATTTGCATGGTATTATCTTTTTCCATCATTATATTTCAACCTTTTTATAACCTTATATTTTAAAGGAGTATATATATCGTTTTTTCCCCAGTCTGACAGTCTTTGCCTTTTTTACCTGGAGAATTGACTACATTTATATTTAATATAATTTCTGATATATTTGGGTTTAAATCTAACCATCTTACTGCTAGGTTTCAGTGTGTCTTATTTGTTCTGTGTTCTTTTTTTGTCTTCCTTGTTGCTTTATTTTGATTAGTTGGCTTTTTTATTTTTTTTGGCCTGTTAGTTAGTTATGTATTCCTCTGCTAGGATGATTACAAAATACATCCTTGATTTATCTTTCACATTCTTTTTGTCCTTGTGGGTTTATGTCTTTTTGCAAACCTCTTTACCATCAATAGGGAAGTGGTTAAATCAGTATAGTACATCCATTCAGCAATGAGGAAAATATATTTTTAAGTGAAAAAAGAAAAAAATATGCAGAACAGTGTGTTGTGTCTGAAAAAGAGAAAAGGTTTGGAATAAGCATTTTATTTTAGCTTTTGTATGTATAAAGAAACTCTGGAGAGGGATATAGGAAGCTAATGGCCAATTGGTTAGTAGTAGCTGTGGGAACTGAAGAGATGTAGGATCTCTCACTATACTTTTTTTTTTTTTTTTTTTAATTTTTTTTTGGCTGGGTTGGGTCTGGGTT